GGAATTGGAGAAGGTCAGTCTACGTCTAGGCCACCACTCTTTGATGGCACCAACTATTCCTATTGGAAGGAACGAATGAGAATCTACATCCGTTCCACCAACTTCCAATTATGGTTGGTCATCAAAAATGGAGAACAAATTCCAATGAAGAAAGTAGGAGAAACCACGGTCCCAAAGACCGAGGACGAATTTGATGCCGAGGACATCAAAAAGGTGGAGAACTACGCCAAGGCTATCAATATGCTGTACTGTGCCGTCAATCCTGATGATTATCGCAAGATTTCTTGCTGCACCACTGCAAAAGAAATGTGGGACAAACTGGAGGTCACATATGAAGGTACGGACCAAGTTCGGGAAGCCAAAATTGACTTCCTAACGCAGGAGTACGAGATGTTCAGGATGAAGGAAGGCGAAAAGATCGATGACATGTTCGATCGGTTCTCAAAAATCATCAACGACCTTCATACACTCAAGAAGACTTACACCAACAAGGATCTTGTGAGAAAAATCCTGTGAAGTCTCACACCCGAATGGAGATCAAAGGCAGACGCAATCTATGAATCCATCGGAGTCTCAAATGTCACCATCGACGGGCTTAGAGGTAATCTCAAAATCTATGAATCTACTATTCTAACACCATCTTTGGATGAACAAAAGAAGAAGGGTATAGCGTTGAAAGCAACCAAGGAGTCCGTGGAAGATGACTCAAGCGATGATGACAACGAGTTCGGACTCGTTATCAAGAAGTTCCACAAATTCATGAAGAAAGAATTTGAAAGAAAAGGAAGAAAGCACGACGGGCCCTCGAAGTGCTATGGTTGTGGTGAGATAGGCCACATCAAGCCGAGGTGTCCAAAAAGCAAAGGCGGCAAGGACAAAACTGGCTTCAAAAAGCAACGCGCCTACATCTCTTGGGGAGGCGACTCCGGGGATGAGTCAACGGATCAAGAAGAGGAGGAAGCCGCCAACCTCTGCCTCATGGCGCACGAAGATCAAACTGACGACGTTCAAGAGGTATGTACCAATTCTTCCGACTCTTATACTTTTGAAGAAATGCAAGAAGCACTTCATGAGCTTTATGATGAACTTGTTAGCGCTTCTAAAACCAATAAATCTTTAAAGAAACGTCTTTCAACTCTTAAAAATGATTTTGACAAATTGGAAAAAGATAATGAAAGGTTGAAACAAGAAAATAAATTTTATGGTAAGAGAAGTGCTGACAAACCAGAAAGTTCTTCAAGTGAATGTGAATCTTGCAAGACTTTAAAAGAAAAAGTTGCAAAACTTGAGAGTACGATTAAGAAGTTTAATACACCACACAAAGATCTTAATTTACTTCTAGACACCATGCCCTTTTCTAAGGAAGGAATAGGTTTTGATAAAAATGAATCTAAGGATAAAAACGTTTAGCAAACATCTAGAAAACCTCCTAAGGCTCAACATAAGAAAGTTAAAAATCAGGATAATAGAAAATCTAGTCAACCTAGGAACACTAGACAACCTAGACAAAAACCTAGGAATGAAAATGTGCATGATAGACAACCTAGGAAAAGTTATCAAAATAATTCTGTGCATAAAAATAATTTTTCAAATAGACATAAGAATCCTAGAACACCTAGAAGGGAAAATTTTCAAAAACCAAGTTTTTCTCAAAACAGGATGAATACGGTTAGGCCCCCTAGCAACTACTATCAACCTAGGAGGATGCATAACCCAAACGTAGTTTGTCACTATTGCAATAGGGTAGGACATATAGCTCCCGTTTGCTTTACTAGGCATAGGCATTGGGCACAAAATGAATCACACTACTTTGCACCTAACACTCAAGGACCCAAAAAGACTTGGGTACCTAAATCTTATTAAATCATCTTTGTAGGTATGCTTGAAGGCATCAAGTGTACTTTGGTACCTTGATAGCGGATG